TTTTAAATAGTTAAAATAATGAACTTATATAATAAATTTAAAAAAAAATCTTAAAACTAGAAAAATAATTATAACATAATATTCAAATTAATAATAATTACATATTTTACAAAATTAATAACAAATTTATATAATAATATTAAAAATTATAATTTTATGGATTATTAAATTCAATAAATAGTTAATATTTTATAAGTTTAAATAATGATATTATTTAAATAACTAAATAATATTGTAAATAACTAATTTCACTTATATCAATTAATAATTCTAGAAAAATAACTTTCAAAGAATTAAAGTTTATTAATAATAATTTTAAAATCTTAATCTATATTTATTATATATCTATATATACTAAAATCAATATTTGTTTTGTCTCAAGTAATTATTTATTGTTGTTTTGTGATAAATATATTTTCAATAATTATGTATAAATCTATTTTTGTTTTGTTATTTAACAAAAAAATTCAATAATTATTAGAGATTAAACTACTATTATTTAACTTTTTAAGTTTAATTTATTGTACTTATTGTATTTTTGTTATAATTTATTGATTAATATTTATTAGAGATTAAACTATTATTTGAGATTACACTGTTTATTGACTAATTTAATATTTTTTAGTATTTATTGTATTTTCATTACCAATATATTTTCAATAATTGTGTATTTTTGCTATAAAATTTCAATAATTATTAGAGATTAAACTATTTCTATTTATTAGAGATTAGACTATGAATTTAGCTAAAATTAGGAATGTTCATGGGTTGGTTTGGTTCGATTTGTAGGGTGCTTGGCCAACCAAATCGACTCGGTTATGTTGTGGAGTTGGTCACCCGAAACTAGGGATGCAAACAGATTAGATCATATTTGAATCAGGGTCTATCTGAATTCGACCTAATAGTGTTAATTGCAGATTTTGGATATGATACACATGGATCTGAATTCGAATCCGATGAGGAAGTCAACTTTTCAAATTTGATCCGATCTGATTTAATTTTAAAAAATTAAAATGAAAATAAAATATAACAATTTAAATAAAGAAAAACAAAAACTACAAGTATCTTTTCAACTATTTTTATCATATATTTACATGTTTTTTTATAAAAAATAATTAATATAACAAATTTACAAAAATGCAATATAAATAATATATTTATAAATGAATAAATAAGTAGCATATCTATGTGTGTTATATATATTTATATACATAAACAAATAATATATATATCGGATTGAATCTTATCGAATTAAATAGGGGTTGGGTGATCTGAGTTTGATCCAATTTTTGATTGGATCCTATTATCTGATCTGATCTAAGATTTGAAATGGAGCTATCTAAATCTAATAATATAGGATCAAACTTCATATCGGATTATGATCTAATCCATTTGCACCCCTACTCGAAACCAACTCACCATTAGTGAAATCCGCCCTTGAGTTGTATTAGTTTGAGTCGATTTTCGGTTGGTTAGTCGGTTTAAAAGATTTAAACTTCAAAAATAAAATTGGAAATTAAATTCATGATATAAAATATTTTAGACTAAAAAATATAGGAATTTTTCCACTTTTCCATATTAATATATATATATATATATATATATATATATATATGGTCGAGTCATTCAATTTTGGTCAATTTACAAATTGCCAAAGCGAAACTGATCTAACTTGGTCAGGTTGGGAAATTGTTGGACCAAAGTCGACCAAATATACTAGAAAATCAACCAACTCAAGTCAAGTTGGTTGGTTTCATCAGTATGATGAACAACACTAGCTAAAATTAATTATTGTTATTTTTATGTTGTAACAAAATTATTAATAGTAGTATATAAGGGAAAATCTATGATGCAAGAACGATATGGAATCAAAAGAGTTTTGACCAATGGAAATCCACCCATGAATTTTGATAAATAACACCTATTGTCTGCCACGTTTATGATACCAGTTGATTGGTCAACATTTTTTCAAATATCATATCTTTTCTATATCATTGTCAAACTCAAAATATAAATAATTATTAATTATTTAAAATTTAGAAAATATCAAACAATTGTATACTCTTATGTGTTTCTATTATTTAGCTTTCGCTTAACAAATCCCGTGCATCGCACAGGTCCCCACTAGTATATTATTAAATATATAATTGGGATCGAGGTGGGGCATGGACTTCACTCCCCATCCCCAATCAAGTATTCCTACTAATCCCATCCTCATCCTATCCCCACTGAGGTAGTCTCCATCCCCATCCCCACCTGGTCAGGGAAGTTGGGTACTAGAAAAGGATGGGAAAATTGCCATCCCTACCCTCGGGTTGTGTAGCCCCATAGATCAATAAGTTTTGAACCTAATAAACCCTTAAAAATTAATTTGAATGTATAAAAATTAATCAAAATTAATGTTATTAATAAAACTCAGTGATTAATGTTTTGAAACCAAATAGGAAATTACCTTCTCTCACTGTGGGTGAACTTCAATTTAACTTAACAAAGTCCGTGTATCCCATGGGTCCTGACTAGTTAATTAATTATAAATAAAATTAGGTTAAAAGACTTAAACCTCCCCTGATATTTACCTTAAATATTAAAACCTCCCTTCTCTTTTTAAAAAGGACAAAGACCTCCCTTGTAGAATGACGTCTTCAAACAAAAACCTCCTTTCCATTAGTAATTGATCAACATCCGTTTTCATCTAACTCTATATGTAATTGATTTTTTTGAAAACCCAAATTTAGCCTTTATAGGCCCTTCAACAATAATCGAGGAAAGAATGTCGCATAAGTGGTCAAACAAATGGCCCTTGAAGAAACACGCACAGAAAGATCTCCTCTGGCATGGGAAGGTTTGATAGAAAAAACAAGATTAAAAGAGTGGCGGACTCACCCCACCGAAGAAGAAGACGTTGGAAAGCAACAAGAAGGTGATGTGATTGAATGTGGTTCTAATTATGCCACCACCAACATCACACTGGATATTGGTGATGATGGGAACTTTTTACTAGGGATTAGGGCAATAAACCCGATTTTGGGATCTCACTGGGACACTCTTGCCTTCATTCAACAACTATGGACTTTTGTTGTACAATGAATCAATCCAATCTTGAGAATCGTTGGAAGAGCCTGAAACACCCTATAAGTACATATAGTTTATCATTACCAGGACTAAAACGAGGATGTTAAAGGAAAACCACATAGAGAAATCCCAACCGGGACACCTCTGTAATGGCATAGAGACACTTTATCAAAATGATGGAAGGCTCACACACTTGCAATGAGCACATAGAGCCATTTAGGACTTGTGATTAAGGGTGGCCACGAATCGAGTTTTTCACGAGTTATTCAAATTTGGCTCGACTTGGTTTAAACCATGCTTTGAGCCAAGCTCGAGCCTAATACATAGACTCGTTTGCTAATCGGGCCAAGCTCATGCCGAATGAAGCTTGGCTCATGAGGTTTGCAAGCCTAGTATAATAACTAAATAATTTTTTATTATATACATACATACATATAAACATATAAAACTTGTTAAAATTTTTATTCAAAATTGTACCTAATAGACTCCTAAAGTTGGAAACTTGTTGAAATTTTTCATCGTCCAAAGAGAAATAAAAGGCCACAGAGGGCCAAAACGAAAGAAGTGTTACTCATCTTGTGTGGGTGGATTGGTATTTCTGAAATGTATGGAAATATTAAGAAATGGAAGGTAAAAGAGACCTTTTGATTATTTTACTAGAATAACCGTGATAGGAGAGGTCTTTGTGCTTTTTTAAAAGAGAGGGGAAGTCTTAGTATTTAGCGTAAATGTTAGGGGAGGTTTAAGTCTTTTATCCATAAAATTATTCAATCTTTCATATTTTTTTTTAAAAGGAAAAAAGGGAGGGGGAGAAGGAATAAAAAATCGGTGCACATGGAAAGAAAGATCGAAAGAGAAGTCCCACCTAGGGGTGAGCAAGAAAAACTGAAAAACCGAACCAACCAAAAAACCGACCAAAATTGAACAAAAAATTTAGTTAACTGAACTGGTCAGTTTGGCATTTTAAAAAACCAAAGGTACCGGTTCAGTTTCGATTAACCAAAATAGAAAACCAGCGGTTAAATGAACCAACCGGTTTCTATATATTTATGTATATTATATATTTTCTATACATTATAAATTCATAAATATGCATTATATATAAATATATATTTATAATATATAATATATTATTTTTTATTTAAAATATAATATTATATATATATATATATTTCTAGTGTTTTATTATATATTTATATATTTTTTATAATATATATTGTAAATAATAAAAGATCGACAAACCGAACAGATGGTTAACCAAATTGATCAACTGATTAACCAATCAGCTTTGATTCGATTTCAGGAAACCAATAACCCCGGTTCGGTTTAAAAAATAAGCCCATGGTAACTGAACTGTGAGCACCCCTACCCCACCATGACAAGAGTCCACATTGCACATCCCAACCTTGTATTTGGGAACATCTCCTGTGGATGTGAACTCCCACGACCAAGGCACTGTCCAATAAAGATGTGCAACGCGTCAAGGGCTGATTTGCCAAACCTGGTTTAACGTAACCTCCTTTGTATGCCATTGAATTATGGAATGGGGAGAATGGACTCGATAGTCGAGACTCCCAATAACCCTTATGGTTTAACAAAAGTTAACCAAGGGTCAACTTATAAAGCCATTGACAGTTATGGGCTTAGAAGCTGCTACAGCGTTGCAATGCCAATCAGGTGCGGATTTCTTTTGATGCTGAAGTAATAGTAAAGAAGTTAAACCTTCTAATAATGGAACACACATGGATGGATGAAGTGCATTTTGGGCGGATCTTGTATCGCCAAAGTCGGTTTAGGGATTTAAAATTTATTTATATATCTAGAACTAACAACACTTTACTCATCTTCTAGCTTATTATGCTTGTAAATATCAAAGACATTGTTACCTTGTACAAATTTACTCGCAATATAATTTCTATCACCACTCTTTTGCCTGGAAAAAAAGTCGAGGATTCCCAAACGAAGAAGGAAATGACTTTTTTGATTTTTCACCGTTCCGGAGCGTTTGTCAAGTCTTTTTAAGTGGTCTTTCAAGCTTTTTCAAAGCTCGGAAGACCTGGTTTTGAGCCTTTTTCGTTTGATAATCAAAAGACAGGAAGCCGAAAAGACATGCCCCCCCAAAAAGCTTGACAAAGCTCAGATTTGTCTTAAATCCGAAAGCTTCGAAAAACCCTCGTTTCCTCTCTGAGTGTTTTGGCTAAACGAATCTGCACCAGGTATGAATTCCTCCTTCCTCTTCTTTCTTCTTCGATCCAATTCTCTACTCGTACAGTCGTACCTCAGTTCCTTTCAGATCTGATCTCTCCCCAGCAAGTTGCATTAATGTATCAGTGCACCGGGTTGGCATGAATGTCTTGAACCGGACACGTCCGATCTGACGACTCGATCTAGCCCGTCCGAGCTCGTGGACCGGTAGTATTTCTTTCTTTTCGTGTCTTCATCACGGCAAGCAGTGAGCCAGTGAGCCGTTTTTTTTTTTTTTTTTTTCTATTTTTGCTTAGAGAGAGCGATAGATGGGCGAGCAGACGAAGATGAAGAAGGTCTCTCCCACCCGAACCGAAACCCCTTCGCCAAACATATTCATACCGGCCTCGTGGTCTGAAGCTGCCATTTCCATAGTTTATGATTCTATAACTTCACCACCTCCTGTTGCTTTCATTTGCGGTGCCAAGAATAGCGGGAAGACTACCTTTTCCCGCTATCTCCTTAACATTCTATTGCAAAGGTTTGCAGAAACTAGTCCTCTCTTTACTTCTCTGCATTTTCCTGTCTCTACTGATTCCATTCGTCTTAACCATTCATGTTGATTTGGTTTTTCTGTTTCATTATTGTAATTCCTTACTATTTTCTAAAACACTCTCCTCTGAACATTAAATTTAATCTATATATTTCTTCTTCTTCAACGAATTGGACGGGTACAGAAAAGGTAGTTCTTTTGGTTATTCATTTATGTTTTTTTTTTTTTATTATTTCCTATTCCAGATACAAAAGGGTAGCTTATTTGGATACAGATGTTGGGCAGCCAGAGTTTACTCCTCCTGGTTGTCTGTCCCTTAATGTTATTGACAGACAAACTCCAGGTATTCTTTCTCTATACTTTTTTGAAGTTCATCTCCTCTTTTTTCTTTAGTTTTTAATTGCCGGCCTGGATTTCTTGCATCGCCTGCTCTTGCCTGAATTTGTAACTCTATTATTCTCTTTAATTAGTCGTCGTCTCTCTATGCATGTGGAGTTTCTTCTCCTTCCATCATCGGTAATTATTTATTTGTTTATTTTTCTGATAAAGTTTGCTTTTTCATCAGATACGACAATTCCATGTCTCAAAACGCCTGAGAGGTACGAACTTCAATCTTTTACATGATGGTTGTAGCACAGAAATTTTGCATCCAAATGTTGCCATATGTTAGTATCGTTTAAGGCATTATGAAATACAACAATGTAGTGGAATAACATAAATAGTAGGTCGATTATGGGAATGTTTTGCCCTATAGTATTTAGATATAGATTAATTGGAGGGCTTTGCTTTTGGGGGCAGGAAGTTCAAATATTCTAGTCTTAGATTGAGCTGAATGTCAATCACTTTGCACCATATACCACTTGCAAATTTTTATAGGGACCTGTGTTCATGTCCAAGGATTTTGGAGTCCAGTTCATATTAGCATTGGTTGAGTGGGGCTAAATCTTGGTATTGCAAAGTTTTATTTCTTTTTCTTCATTGGCTTTCATTGTAAACTAATAGTTCTTGATTTAAGATAGAGGGAAGGTTGTTTTTCGTACAAAGCATGTGCAACCCATATTTGATATTCTATGCTTATTGTGTACACTTATGCCATCAGACACCTTTAGAAGACATGTTTATCTCATGGTATTTCCGTATTTGCAACTTTGCAATTAGTAGGAGTTGATTAGTGAGACTGAGATCCATAAGGTTGTTGAGGTACTTTTGGTAGGATTATTTTTATTTTTTTTTTATCAATAACTGTGAAATTTCATTAGATTAGAAAAATAATATAGTACAGTGTGTAGAACCAAAGAGAAGATAGTGAGAGATAAAACAACTTATCTCTCCCCTTAGATACACCCCTCCCTTACAATTGTGCCCAGAACAGAACTTGTCGTCCCACTCCTTGTTTTGCTAGAGAATCAGCAAAGGAGTTGGCGCTATGCTTGCACCAGCTGACAGAAACTCCCATTTCCCTTGTTAGCCATCTGAATTTTTTCTTTAGGTAGGATCTTCATGGAGTTCATTCTTTTGCAGTCTTAACAAAATGAAGATTCTGGGCTGTGTGAAAGTTCAAGGGTTTGCCACATATACTAAGATAATCAACAAGGCATGATATCATGGAACTTCCCTTTTGCCAATTGATTGAAGCATATCTTTTATCTTTTTTTTTTTAATTTTTGTTTTTGTTTTATTATTCTAACAATTTGCTCCTTGTGACCCTTTTCTTTCCTTATTTTGTTCCTTCTTCTTGCTCCTGAGTGGGTGGCTTAGATATCTATTGGGCCTTGGGTTTGAGTTCTCTCCTTTTTCCCTTCACTTCTTACCTATCAAAGGAAGGAAAAAAGGGGAAGAAAGTCTTCAAGTTGGAAGTGAGGTTTCAGGAAGGCCCCCAATGTATAGGGCCAATGTTATCTGTTAGAACAAGGTGAAAAAAGGGCTTTCAGATCACAAAGCTTAAGATTGGAAATTGCCATATCAAATTTGGATTTTATGATGTTATTGATGACTATATTATGTTGTTTTATTTGAAGATGTGTTATGATAATTGTCCTGTGCACATGGTCTGAGATTATTCCTTTGATTGAGAGATGGGCATTCTTCATGCCTCAACCTCATCTATTTGGTGAAGTTTATGGAGTTACAAATTTGACCACATAAATTTATTTTTGTACTTTCAGGTGTCTTTTCTTTGGTGATATTTCTTCAAAAAGGGATCCCAAATCCTATTTGAATAATATATTCGCCCTCTATGATTACTTCCGTGCAGAGTACTACATGTCCAATGAGAATGAAAATCTTGGAAAACCTCAGTTGCCTCTTGTTGTTAATACACCTGGATGGGTGAAAGGTATGCATCAATTCTGGAGTTATTATTTGCATTTTATATTCCTTTTTATTTTCTTGGTTTGTGATATTGACTATTGAGTTATTTTGCTTCCCAAAGTTTCATTACTTCTTATAGTGAGTTATTATGCATTTTATCAATTTGACTTGCTTACTTATTAAACTACTAAAAAAATTCTGTTTCCTTGGGTGCAAGGTATTGGTTATGAAATTTTGGTGGAGATGTTGAAGTATATTTCTCCCACACATGTGGTTCAGATGCGCATCTCTGCTGAGAGTAAAAATCTGCCAACTGGGGCATTCTGGCTAGATGCAGATAACGAGGGGGTTGTTAATCTGATTGATCTTAGTGCTGCGCGGCAAGACTCTTTTAATAGATCGTAAGTTCTTAACAATATTCGTGTATACTTAGAACCTCATTAGATCAATCTGGTGTTACACTATCGCTTGGATGTGTATGACTTCCTTGGTCTTCTAAGTCATCTCTCATGTCACACTATTGGAATTCACTTCTACCTGTACTACTGTCCAACTAGAAATCTTTTATCCAAAACCATTTCAAATTTATGCTTGTCTAGAATGAAATCATACAAAAGACAAGTTCAGAGGATTTTTCTTAATTCTTAACTGATATTTAATTCATTTGTCAGAATATGTATATGTTGCCAAGCAACCCTTAACATAGGCTGGGCTTATCCACCTATCCTACTTGATTTATGCATTATATTAAGGCCCAAAACAATGTTCTCTGTTTACTACTTGTTTAGTGAAAGAGTCTGTTAAACCATTTGTTTGTCTTTGTACGTATTGAAAGGTTGCCTCCAGCTCACATGCTAGACTTCTTTTTGTCTCTAATGACCCATCTGTAGATCCATGGCACCTGCCCATTGCTATGCATCCAACCCACTACCACTTTTGAGTTCCCTTCAATGATAATGTATTTTTTCACTATTGTAAATCATTTCAATATTACCACTGTGATATTTGTAGAGTATGTAGTAGTTTCTTTTAAAATTTCCTGATTCATTCAGTTTTTCTTGTTTTATCTGGCAATTAGGGGCTTGAAACTTAATATTTACGGCACTTCTCAATAGAAGTCATTAACTTTGTTTTCCATAACAATGATAATGATAATTGATAATGCTATTTTGTACATCCTATAGGAGTGTTACTACAATTCATCATTCATGCACTTTATCAAGTAAAATACATTCCAGTTTTCTTTCTTTGTGGGTAGATCTGCAATTGTCAAGGGCTGTAATTTTCTTTTCACACATCGTCTCTCTTGTTCTCTATAGGATATTAGTACGAAAGGATGCACATCTTATGCGAGATCTAAAGATCATTGGTTATTTCAGACAATGCTTTCCAAGTGACTTGAATATTACAACCTTAAAGGAACTTGCTCATGCATTGGCTTCTCAACCTCCATATGAAGTCCCTATATCAAGTATTAAAGTTTTACATCTTCATTGCCAGGTTTGGTGCCATTAGATTATGTATTGTAATGTAATTCTTGAGAATTTTTTTTTTTACTTTACATGTGTTTTATCTACCAATTTACATAGGAGTTTGATTTGACTTGTACACATGCTTTCTAGTAACATATTGTATAGAGTTGAAACACTAAATGGGGTTGGGGGTGGAAATATCATAAACATGATAGCATGTTTTTTCCGCATCTTATGATGCTATGATATTCTCCTGTCTTGCCATGCAATTGACAAATTATATGCTAAGATAAATGATTTATTAGTGGGATTTCCAGTTGAATTAGCTGCTCTTTTATTTTCTTACATTAGTAGTGGCAGCTGCTGCTTGGAAGTTTGTTCGTCAGAAGGTGGTGGATGGCAGGCCATGGCCATTGGTTACCACCTCCCTCCATGCTAGAGTTGGGAGTGTCAGGGGATGAAGAGGACCCACATTGAGGGCCTAAAAAACACAGATGAATTTTGTTTTGGAAAGAAATATATGGAATAGCCTTCTGAAAATTCCCAAGTCAGTAAACCCTGGCCCTCTGCTAATACTGAGTTATGGCAAAGCTCGGATGCATTTGGGACCAGCCTTAGCATTTCCAGATCTAAATGAGTTGCCCAAGTTTACTCAAGTTTTAGACTTGAGAAGATCTAGTGTGTTTGGACTTGGTGACTTGGCTGAGACAGTTAGTCCCACCTTTCCTAATCACATGTATAATATATCTAAAACCCCACTCCCCCTTCTTCAAATTGAAACCTTCTTTTAAATATGCTATTCAGTTTCTTTCTCATAATTAGATGCTCATATTTTATATGTTGTTATGCTAGGTCCTAAGTAGTGAAATATTTCACAGCTTGAATGCAACCATTGTTGGTTTGGCTATTAGTTCTGAAAAGCCTACACAATCTGAGATGTGCGCACCTTGGTGTGTTGGTCTTGGTAAGTTCTATCCTAAAATAAACCTTTCCCCCTATGCTTCTCTTTCATATTTCCCTGTGTACTTCTTAGCTGTGCTACTTCACAAGAAAAAGTAGGGGCTTTTGATGGACATGTTTTAAATTAGATGCACATAAATAAGGTATCTCCTTTTCTAAATAAAGGGACCATTACCCAATCATTATGCCAAACCTACAATCTGGCAAAATTTTCACAAAGTGGCCACTTTCAGACTTGAGCCCAAGATCTCATGCATGTCAGCCCAATATTGCATAAGCAAACTTTTTCTGAGATATCTCAACAGGGAAAAAATATATATTGTTTTGGTGTGGAGGAAACAAGACTGTTATACATCACTTTTCTGAACCATTATCTCTGTGAAAAGCATGAAATGTGTTCGCACTCCCCAATTTGGGTTGAATAACTTGCAACATAAAATCCTGAATGGCTTTCTGCTGATGAGGGATGGTTGATTAGTGCATTTCAGTATTTTGACAGTGCTGGTATGCATAATAGATTGTTTATTTGCAAAGTTGAGATTCTGCTGCCACTCAAGCTAATTAGTTATACAACCTTGGGTTATAATTCTTACATCACAAAGTACAGACAAGGCTTTTTATTCAATACAATTATGTTACCATACTATACAGCTACTGTAAAAACTCTCCCTGCAAGTCTTCTTATTCCATGTATATGTTTGCACTCTTTTATATTTTGATAGATAACAGTCAAATTTTATTAAAGACTAAAAACAGATATGTACAAGATTCCAAGCATCCCCATAGTGAGTAGAGGTTCCCCACAACTAGAAGTATATGAAGTAAAAGACAGCACCATAATATCATGCTACTACATTCAAATCCCCCATGAATCCCCAAAAGAGTTCATTCCTCTCCACCCCTTGTTTTGCCAATGAATCAACAACAGCAAGCTCATTTGTTGATCTATGCACCCATCTTCTACAACTCTGTCCCTAATCAACAACCTGATCTCCTTCATTACATTGATACATTCCTGTGTTTCCACAAATCTTGATTTTTTTAACCACTGTACAACTACTTTGGGGTCACCTTCTAAAATCAGATTCTGTACAACTGCACTTATGTCTGCCTCTATGGAATTTCCTCTGCCAATGGAACCTGAAAACAGAGCCACGACATTACCTCATGCATCCCTAAAAGCCCCCCAAAACCCTGCTGGTCATGGGTTGCCTCTGCCACATCCATCAAAATTCATTTTCAGTGAACCTTCTCGGGGTGGGGGACCAAAGAGCTGAAACTAGAGGCTTGTGTAGAGATGTTGATACTTGATACTGTTTTCCAATTTCTTACAATGTCATCTGCTGTGAAGGGATCAAACCAAGTCAAGGTCTTCACCCAATGGACAACCCATATTGTAACCAGCTCAGTAATGTTCTTACAGTTCCTTGCTTCATTGTTGAAAATTCTCCCATTCCTTTCTTCCCAAACTGTCCATAGGATGGCTGCTCTCATACACCTGCATAACAGTCTAGCTCTTCTTGTATGGAAACTGAGAAAAGATGGTTGAAATAGCCCACTTAAGGTAGAAGGAGGTGTCCACCTGAGATCAAACAACTTAAGAAACCACTCCCAGATTCTTACCACAAAAGAGCAGGAGATAAGCAAGTGGTAAATATCTTCTCCATGAGCCAAACATAAAGGACAAGTGTGTGGTGATAGAAACCACCCTGGCCTTTTCTTCTAGATATTCTCAGAAGTGTTAGTTCTGAAGTGGTAAGCTTTCTAACAGAAGGCGCCTCACCTTGGGTGGCACAGGTCCACTCCAAACTTCATGAACGGGAAAGGATAAGGAGGAAGAAGAGGTCAGAGAGGATGAAGAAAGTAAAGCATTCAGAAAAGAGCTGCAAGAAAAAAGAACCAGAGGAAGAGGGAGTCCAAATCCTCCTGGCAGACTTGGATGGGTCAAGAATCACACCATCCAGGACTTTAAGGAGTTCAATTACTAGGAGGGTGTCCAATTCCCTTAAACCCCTATTCATAAAAAAAAAAAATCACTTAAACCCCTTCTGAAACTGAGATCCCAATCCAAGCCCACCCAGGAAGACAACACTTGCTATGAAACTAAAGTATGCTTGAACAAGGACAGATTGTACAAGCTAAGATAAAGATTTTTGAGAGTGGATTCCTCTACCCAAAGGTCTTCCCAAAATTTGACTTTTCTCCAGAGCATAGGTCATACCAAATATGGCTCAGAAAAATGGGAGCGTACCCACAATAAACTTCCAAGGAGAAGCTAAAGTAGTTCTTCTTGCAGCAAACCAGGGACCCAACCATTAGGGTCGACACCATGATCCATGAATAGTTCTGATGACCAAATGCCACAACTTATCAGTATCAATTGGTAGCGTCCACAGCCCTTTGCTTAATAATGACGAAGTCTTCAGCCTCAGATTGTCTAGTCCTAATCCTCCTTTCTTCTCCCTTATCCAAAGTTGCAAACTAAATCCCAGTTGATTAAATGATCGTTATTTGACTCCCCCAATTCCTACAAGAAATTCCTCATTATACTGTCAAGATGCTTGGCCACCAAAGCTGGACCTGGAATCCTAAACGTGAAGAGATAATAGATGAGAAGGTTTTCTAAGGTTGATCTAGTTATAAAGTGATTCTCCCTCCCAATGAGATGTAAGATTTCTTCCAGGTTGTCATTTCTTTAGATAACCTATCCATGATTGGGTTCCAAAAGTTTAAAGACCTAGGATTTCAACCTACGGGTAATCCTAAATACTTAAAGGGCCAGCTTCCCCCCTTGAATAACCCAATATTGAGGCTATTCTCTCTATTTCGGAGTTGTCCATGTTGACACCCACTACACAACTCTTTACAAGTAAGAAAACAATAATTCACCTTCTGTTAGTTTGGTTTTAAGGTAATAGGTGCATTAGAATTTGTGTGGTAATGTTTCACCATAAACGGTAGTAATCTTAAGTTTATTAAACATTTTCAAGAATTTGTTCTTGATGCAAAAAATCTTGTTCAAATGGAACCAAAGACGGGTGCAAACAGACTGGATCATGATCCGATATGATTTCGAATTTGATCTGATTCGATATCCGATAAAATGATCCGAATCGAACTTGAATCCGAGGTTAGAGAATCTAACAGATTTGAATTCAAATTCGGATCATATGGACCTTCTATCAGATCGGGTTTGGATATAGCCCGATTCAAATTTGATCTGATCCATTTGCATACCTAACCAAAGATCAACCAACTCTCTAGCTGATAAATTAGCTAGATAAGGTATAGGTAGGGCAGACTAGTATTCTGTTACTTCCCTCCTGGAGTAGCCATTTGTAATGACTTAATATTTTGTTTCCATACTGTTTTGCCTTCTCATTGAGAATGTGTTGTATCTAGCTTAGCTGTGGGCATGGGTGATTTTCTTTATTCAGCTTTAGTCTGAATTAATAAATCTCTTTTGATCTTGTTAATGATCACACAAAAAATCAAGAATATATTGGTAATAAATTGATGATCCTCTGTTAATTATCTAAGTGCAAATCATCATCTTCATCTAAGCCTTGCCTGAACTGTATGGGGTCAGCTACGTTGATCTTGTTTTTTCATCATTCCATTCTATTCAGTACCAAAGTATCTGAGTGCAAATACACGGATGAATTCAATGTCATTTTCAAATTGTTTTCCCTGGAAAATTTGTCATCTTTGTGTCCAAGTTGCCTATTATTATTGTTTATTAGTCATCCAGCTCAGCATGAATTACTTATGTTGTACTTGTAGGACTATGAACATCCAAAAGGCTCGTTATGTCATTTATCATAAGCTTTATAGTTAAATAGGTTCAATGTTTTCTCCTGACATGCAGAAACTTTAAAACATGTTATCATTCCTATGCAAATTTGCTACTAATGTTATTTTAATGCTGTGGTTCCATACATATTTATGAGCATTTACACACTAGTGCTAATCTAGTTTCCCTTTGCTTGTTTCTCTAACCTGTCCAGTGTCCACTTGTCTTTATCAATACAAATAATTAAAGACTACTTGGAGCTTGACTGCCATTTTCTTTATTTACTTAATGTTGTATTGGATCAGGGATTGTGAGAGGCATTGACATTTCAAAAGGTACATTCTATGTAATTACACCTGTCCCTTGGTGCAGTCTGCAAAAGGTAGATCTTTTTCTACGGGGTTTTATCCAAATCCCAGCTTGCCTGATGCAGGTAATTGTATCTTCCTTGTCCTTTCTCTGAAAACATGGAAGAAATTTTGGGTTATTGCACACACAAATGGGACCAACCTAAGCATTGGTATGTATTAAATGAGAGACACTCCAGTCCTTTGATCAGGTTGATTTTCTGGCCCCAACATATTTCTGATTGGACTTTCAAATGGTGGTCCTGAAGGCCTGAACCCCATGTTGTATGCTTCTTTGTGTAGAATGACATGTTCCCTTGCTGATCAGATTATTCATGTTGGAAACTTGTGTATGCATCTACTGTATTTTATAGATAATGAGGTAAATAGGAGCCTGAGAGGGGTAAGGTGACTTGGGATTAGTCATTCAACGAATTGGAAATATTCTAGGTTAGGAATCATAAATGTTGCTTAACAAAGGACAAAGAAAATTACAGAGAAGCCCAATATAAGGAGACCCGAGTAGCCCCTTGTTTAGCAAGATAATCAGCCAAGGCATTAGCCGGTCTCCCCAACCATTGAAATCTGACTGTCATGTTATGTTTAGTAACTAAGGGGTTGATGGTTTCCTCCATCTCCCCTCCTTAAAGGGGAGGTAGCATCTCGTGCCTCTCCCTAAAATGTACCTTCTTTGGCTATGAATTAATAAATCTTACAATTCACTGATCAAAAAAAAAAAATCATAAATGCTGCTTATAAGTAAAAAATTAAAAATGCCTAGGAATCAGAAAGTCATTAGTCAACAGATTAGATCATAAATATTCAGCAAGTTAGATTGCTTCTGTTCTGTTAAAAATATAATTTTAGTTTTTTCTGAATGCCCTAGTTCTTAAGTATAGACCATGACATTCTTTGCAGGTTCAAGGGTTTATTTCACCTTATATGTCTACAAATGTGCTGCCAACAGATTAGATCCTTGGAATAGATATACAGGTGCTGAGCTGAAAATGTTATAAGGTTATGTTTTGTACCATGCTTTTCCTACCTGAAACGTTGTGTTGGCCAATACAAATTGGCAATAGATATGTGTTGTCACATATGGAAGTCACTTCAATTACAGTGATTAACATACCTTGCTGTTTCTGCCTGAAATGTTGATTTGATGTTTCTGCAAACAGCCTCCCACACGTGTTTTTAAGGTATGCATGTTTCAACTATTAACAGAGTCAAATAACAGTTGTATGCCACTTTGTATTGATCAACCCAAATTGTTTCAGGTAGACACAGCAATATTATCATTTAATAAACCATATATCTTCTTTTCTTTTATCAGATATTAAATCCAGAAAACAATCTTAAGATTCCAAATGATATACAAGTCTTAAAGGAGGGTGCTTAACAAGGTTAGCATGAAGTCTATTATTCAATGCAGGAAGCTCCTTGATCCAGAACCAATTGATGGGCAACAGCACAAAACCAATGTGTGAGGTGTTTTTTTATTCTTTTTCTATTATAAGTTGTAGTGCTTATAAAAGTTTTCCTATATTTGCATTTCCCTATTTTAAATTTTGTTATTGGATTATGGAAGTTAATGAACCCATGAAATCAACTACTCACTTGTACATAGAAAGTGTTAACGAATTCACAGAAATCGCTCCTCAAATCCTTGAACAAGGTATACGATGATGAGGCCAAGCCCTTGTAAGTTGAGTAAACATTAAAACAGTACCAGTTTGAGGTTCCATCATGAAAACTATGACGGATTGAGTGGTAAAGGGGAAAATTGTGCTGACTGAACCAGGTCCCAGCGTGCCATATGTAGCTTCCCCATTAACTCCAACAGGACTGAGTGTTTACTTGTGATAGATTGCCCAGCCCAGCGTGCATGACTGTCTCCAGCCAATCTGAACTCAACTGCAATGGAGGGACATGGTGAGATTAGAATCTTAGTTTTGGTTTTTAAAAATAGCAAAACAAAAATAAAGAAAACACTTAAGCCCTGTTTGCTTTTCGGTAAGTTACTTATCTGGGTAAATGCATTTACCTGGGTAAGTTTTCTCAGGAAAGACTTTTCCAAGTAAGTGCATTTACCCATGTTCTTTTATTTCGCATATGAATAAGGCAATGACTATTTTAGCCATAAAATTCCATTATTAAAAGGAACATTTTTGTCTCATTCAAGTATTGGCAACTTTCCCCA